GTGAAGCAAATGAATGATTCCCCCCCCCCAAACAACTCAAATTTTGGGAAGGAAAAATGAAATTCATATTTTAAAAAGGTATAGGAAATATATATATATAGAAAAAGGTTGAAAAAGGAGGAAATTTTGATTTTTAATATAGATTCACGCAAATATAAAATGACTTATAGCAACTTACATGGATTCAAGTACAAAAAGTTTAAGTGTCTGTTTGTTATGGATACAGTCTTTACTAATAGTACTTAAGAATGTATAGTAAATAAAAGGAACCATAATTTGATTAAAATTATGTACATAATAAAACTATAGGTTAGCACCTGGAGGAATAATTGGGATCTGAGAATATTGGATTTGAAGGCCATTCCATGATGGTATATGTCACATAATTTGCAGAATCAAATCACAAATTTGCAGATTACACCAAGCTGGTGGGAATGGCCAACACTCCAGAATATAGGCTCAAGATATAAAATGATCTCAACAGACTTATTTGGTATGACTAGGGATGACATGATAGCAGTGTTCCAATATCTAAGGGGCTGCCACAAAGAAGAGGGGTGGGTGGGTGAACCTATCTCCAAAGCACTTGAAGGCAGGACAAGAAGCAACAGAAGGAAACTAATTAAGGTGAGAACCAACCTGAAAATAAGGAGAAGTTTCCTGAGAGTTAGAACAATTAATCAGTGGAGTGGCTTGCCTTCAGAAGTTGGAGGTTTTTAAAAAGAGATTGGACAACAATTTGCCTGAAATGGTATAAGATCTCCTGCTTGAGCAGCGGGTTGGACTAGAAGACCTCTAAGGTCTCTTCTAATTCTGTTATTCTGTTATTTGCTTGTGCTATCATTACACGACCTGCTGACAGAAATTCTGATTGAAGAACATAAGATACAACTGAAGCATAATATGCCAGTGCAGCATGTGAGGTTATGCTAATATAGTACAGGCTGCTTCCAAAATTTTCAGCCAGTCTGGTCAAGGGACATGACATCCAACAGACCTTGAGACACCAGGATGGGAAAGTTGTTCTGTTCATGGAAGTATCCAGAGTTTCAGCTGGAAAAAGAGTGGGGTGATTAACCAGTTGTTAGCTTTCAATTATCACATCAAATATTCTGATTAGTTTCCTATTCTGAAATAACCAAAGATTCACACAAATTGTTATCAAAGTTAACTAATTAGGCCCTTTAATCACCAATCCATTTGTGATATAAGAATTTAAAAATACTCCCTGGCTTGAGGGCTTTATCCCTGTTCATCTGTTACAAAATTGAAATAACCCACATTCCCTCACTAACATTTCTCCACTGCAATTTTCAGACATTTTGAAGGAGATGCACTTCCTCAAGTATATAAGACTTATACGAAAGTCAACATGCACACATTTCTGCATTGGTTGCCTTTTGTCTTGTAGGCATGCAAGTCAGCATACACACCACTCAGTGGTGGGATTCAAATACGTGAACAACCGATTTTCTGTGTGGATGCCATTTCCGGAAGTCCATTCTGGGCCTGGGCAGCAAAAAATTAACTACAGGTTCTGCCGAACTGGTGCAAACTGGCTGAATCCTAGGAGAAAGATGCCACTGGAGCAATTTTAGCATATGTATGTTAATTATCAAGAGCAGTCCCACAGAACGAGCATTCCTAATCGCATCAGACATAAACAGAGTTATTGTAGAATACAAGAAAGCATAAATGCAATCTGATACCCACTGATAATTTATTGACTATTAAAGCCATACCAGAACATTTGGTTTACACTTTATATTAAGATTTCATGCAATTTGTTTAGCTGATGGGGTCATTCCTCATTTTAAACCATAATTGGTTACTTGCTTATTGACTGTAATTGTAGCCCAATATGATGTTTATACAAAGATGTATAGTTTGTGGTTTTCTAGCATTTTAGGACCTGTCTAAGCCTCCAAATAGTCTACTGTAAGATCAGAGTGGTTAAAAAAAGTCAACAAACAAATCATGAATAGAAAAACATGTCTTTTTCTTTTTTGCTTTGTTTCTGGTTGATTCAGTATATTATAATTCAGACAAATCCAGGTCTCAGTGCTTTTATTTCTAATTCATATTAGTTTGAAGGAGTTGTTTTGGGCAGAAAGTTTATCCGGAAGAGGCAAAAAATAAATATCTTTTTCTGCCTTTCTGCATCCAAGATGCTCTCATTAGCAAAACAGTCATTAGCTTTCCTCTGAGCCTTGGAAATTGGAAGTAAGGGAAGATTGGACGCTCATTCATTAAGCTATTCCCCCTCCCCAATCCCATAATTCCAAGTTTATGAGGGAATTTAAAGTTCTGTCATACTTGGCAGTGAATTTGCCAAACAAGAAAAAAAAGAAAAGCCTATGGGGCTGTTGTTTTTTGTTGCTGTCAGAACATCACCTTCAAACGTTTTATTTTTATTTTATATTGATAGTAGGCAGATCTTTTGCCTTAAGTGCCCAAGCATACTGCTCTTTTATTTATGATGTTTTTAATTGCAGGCAAAAATGGTGTTAGTTGATGCAGAAAGCTCATAAAAATTCTTTTGAAGAGGGGTGGAATTGTGGCATATAATACAATTCAGGAACATTGTGAACCTAGTCGATTTTATTACTTTTTTTATTATTGTGGAACCACACTGAATATGTATGTACTATAGCCAGCTTAGTAGAACCATATAAACAAACCTCTTTGGCTCTGATATGTCTTGACCTGCTGTCAGGCCTTTCTCAGCTGACAAGACAAAATATTGCAAACATATATTTCCCAGGGCACAAAGGCACCGATAAAGCAGATTTATTGTGGCAAGCCTTTGACCCATTACAAAAGAAGTCTAGTGATTGCAGTGCATCAAATGCAAGTTCTATTGATACTACAGTCAATATTCAGTTCCTTGTGCCTTTCTCCCACCCATTCTACATAAAGCTATTCTCTTGTGAACGGGTAATGCAATATCCATGTTTACTTTGTTTTGGAAATGGCCTAATAGCAGGCTGTTTTACTTTTGATTGGTTCAGCTTGTGGAAAACCATAGTAAGAAAAGATGGATTATACATACAGGTAGTCTTTGTTTAGTGACTGCCTCATTTAATGACATTTTATTTATTTAACATTTTATAGCCTCCCGTCTTTTACCAAACTCTGGGCAGCTCCCAATCAAGAATTAAAATTATATAAAAAACTATTAAAGCTATATTAAAACCATAAACATTAAAAACAACAACAAAAAAGAACTGGTGCCAAGCCAAGCTGTCAGCTTATCCTAATCCAGCACTATGGGATAAGGCCAAGTCTTCCGTTACCATGGCTAAAATGTTCTGGAAGGAATCTCTTGTTATTCTTGATAATTTTAATCTAAACACGGCTTTATGTGGAAGAGCTGGTTTTTTGTTTTCTTTTTGTTTTGCTCTATTTGTTTCCTTTGTTTCCAGAAGAGCTATAGTAATGGTTACTATTTTTTTGCTTTTTTCAGAGAGTTTTGTCTTATTCTTGAGCTCTTATTCAGCAATAGCTAATTCCATAATTCTCAGGGTCCATATCCATAGAATTTTGGCACAAAGTATTTAAAGTATTTGGATAACAAAAAAAACACTATTATTTCCGGACAAAATTCCAGAAATGTAACATTTTTCTTTTCTCTGCATAAGGAAAAGATATATATTTTAAAAAAAATAAATTTCACTAGTCAAACCAGAAGTCATACTGATTATCGTTTTAGATTGCCTTGTTATACACTGAACTACATTCTTGTACAAGGAGGGGAAGTGATTAGAAGAACTTGAAAAGCCTGTTTCTCCATGTCTGCTTCTTGTTTTATCATATTTATAATTTTGATCTTGTTCTCAACATTTGGTTACCAAACAAACAGTATTATATCCAAAATAAATACGTTTATATTTCTGATTAGGCTTATATATATGGAAATACAGGCCAAATTCTTACCTTGATAATAGAAGAACAGATTTAATTCCCATGAGTTCCTGTATTGCACTAAACTCTTACAGTTAATTGTATAGTTTTGTACCATTTTGAAAGACTATTGACCAGATTCAACTGTGTTTCTAATAGCAACATGTGACAAGCTTAATACAAAACAAATGTTCAAAGCTGTTTCTAAAATAAATGAAAAGTCATTGCTATTTACTAAAAACACACCTGCTCATTTCATGCTGAGGGTTTCTGTGTGATACACAGTAATATTATTAGGAGCCATTTAAAGAGCTGATCTTGTCACTGGGTTCTCATCCATGTGATCCTCTGGAAGCTAGCAAATAGCCCAAAAAGGGAAGAAACAGACTAATTCCATCATTATATCGGCTCTTTAATTAAAGTAATTGTATGAAGACCAGTTTTAGGTCATTGTTTGAATTCTCTGGAGTCCTCAGTATTTACCATTCATCTATTTGCAGTTAGCTTTTGAAAAATATTAATAGTGCAAATTTATGCACGACTACTCAAAAGTGCCCACTGGGGCTAATTCACTTATTTTAGGATTAGACTCAGTGGCTATAGTAGTAACCTCTCCTGATAATTCCTGAAGCAAAGATCCATTAGTCAAATTCTGTGGATTTAAATGGTAGAATATCTCACTCTGATGGTACAACACAATAAAAAACACACATATTGCTGAAATAATTATAGAAAATATTCAAGAATACTTGTGTATTCTTAGAGCTGCAGCTGGTTTGAAAGATGTAGCTGTTTAAGAAGACATCTTCCAGATGATTACATGCAATTAGACCATGTAATATGTTTCAAGTTGTCTTGGAAGGAATTAGAAAGTTCTAAATTCTTGGAATATCCACATCATTGATATAACAAAAATACAATATTTAAATTAAGTATAAGTTGCAATAATGTCTGACCATTTATTAGGAGAAAATTGTCAAAAAAACAACAGCCCCAAAGCATCTCTCCCAAACATGATTGATGCCGGTGCAACTGTCTCTTGCTATTCTTGCTGCAACATGCTTAAACAACTTGGAAATGTTTCCTTGAACTCCTAGGTCAGTCATATGAAATCCGCCTACTTGAGAATAGGAAATTGGGAGAGTTCCAAGATTTAAACACAAAATATGTGAAGGTAAGGATATTTTTTTCCTGCTGCCACACATAAGAGCTACTGGATATAGATTATGTTGCTGGAAAATATTTTAACACTTTAATGGTACATGAGCCATAGTGGTTGTTCTGTTTCCTAATTTACGTAGAAATAACTGGAATTCCAGGGTTTTGTGTACATTAGAGATTTTCTAAATTCCTTGACTACTATGAACATTTTCTTCATAAATTATCTGTATTTAATCTGTGCCTTTCTTTCAGATTCGCTTTGCATGTTAGAATATTCCATAGCAGAATTTTAGAATGTAGTTTTTGTACGTTGTACATTGTCTGCCAAGTGTGGAATCTGAATGAATCCAGGATTCTTTTGTATTTTACATTATTATTCATGATGCATAACTCATTTTAAAGGGAACTTGAATACCCATAGTCCTTTTTAAGAAATCCCCAATATTTGAGGACTCTCAAAGAATGAATACTGTTTGAGAACTACTGATGTAGACCTTTGATTTTCTGGTCACAAAGTTAGACATATTTTGGACTGAAATAGCATTTACATTTCTTGACTGCATCCTTATTTGCAATAGTGCAACATCTATTAAATATCAAATCGAGGGTTACTGATTTTTTTTAATTGCAGGTATGACTAGGTAAGACTACCTTTGCACCGCTGCTGTCATTCATAATATTGATCTATAAAGGGTAGTTTTTGACAGCATCCAGAGTTTTCCACATTCGCCCCAGTGTATGATAACAGATATTTGTCCATTACTTGGTCAGCATAGCAGATCAATAAATGACTTGAGAATGTATGACTATAATTTGGAGTTTTGCTATCACTTAAGAATTCAATGTTTGTTTATATATTGTGTTTTAGAATAAAAACAAAACAAAACATTGTGTAATAAAATGACTGCATATTTCTATCCTGGCCAAAGAAATGTTCATAAACTTAGTGAATTTTAACAGGCCACTTTGCAATCAGAGGCACATCCTATAAAATGCCATTGGATTCTCAATGCATCTAGTTCAAAACATACATGCAAGCCTACAGTTCATAACATGGAAATCAATATATAAACACAGATCATTTTGGATCTCTCTCGGACTTTTCATTTGGATATAAAACTTTTAAGATCTTCTCCCTCAATAAATGGGCTGATTAAATAAAGACAAATAATTAATATCCTATATTATAAAGGCTACTCACTTTTATCTTTTGTCAGTTCCTAGAGATTTCAGAAAATTGTTCTTTTCTATTACTCAGTCTTTCTCCAAATATTTCACTTTCTTGATGTTTAGTTCCTTCAAGGATTTGTTAAAAACAAGTAGTGATCGTAGATACGATTTGCAAAGTGGGACATATCTAGCTATTTGCAGTGGATATCACATGACAAGATACTATAGTACTAAATAATACAATTTTCCAGATTGCAGATGTCTGGTCAGTATATTCTGAATAGCAATTTTATTTAATTAAAATATTCTTTTTTATGATGCTGGATGATTTCTGCACATCCACTTAAATATAAGACACATTGCAAGTCTTCTGTCAGCTTTGTCCTAGAAGTGGAAAGTGTAATTTTTTAAAAATACATGCATCTAACTTCTTGTATTATTTCATCCACTTTTCTCTCCATAGAGCATTATTCGGGTAGTTTTTCATGATCGGCGTTTGCAATATACCGAGCACCAACAGCTAGAAGGCTGGAGATGGAGTCGCCCTGGAGACCGCATCCTTGACATAGGTGAGAACTGTTAATTACGGTATCCATTGCTTCTTTCTTGGATGTATGATTTGCCTGTAAAACACAACAAATATTACAAATATACCTGTTGTAATATTTATGAATTTGGAAAACAGTTGGTTCTTCTTTATACCTGTTGCAATATTTACAAACTGGAAAATAGTTGGTGTCTTGAAATAAACAACAAGCTTTTGCTTTTGTTAGATTTCATTCCAACATCAATGAAGTGTGTGTGTGTGTGTGTGTGTGTGTATGTTTGTATTAATATATTTATTTCTCACCTTTTAGGTAAAAGCTGTTAGAAAAGTGGCTTTTACATAACCATATCTATTTTTGCTGATAATATAAACAAACTCTTTACCTATGAAAGCCAGAAGAGGTATTAAATAGGGTAGGATAACTTTAGTTTCCCAGAATTTACAACTCCAAGAATCCTTTCAGATGGAAAAGCTAAGACCAGGTTTCTTACTCTGCAACTAGTTGTGTCAGGCTGGTCTTTCAAATGCATCTGGTGTTTACACTGCAATGTTTCTTCTCTTCAATTTTTAATTTTTTTAATATTTTAGGGGTTTTCTTCTACAGATATCCCACTGTCAGTTGGTATCTTAGATCCCAGAGCAAGTCCCACCCAGCTGAATACAGTTGAATTTCTGTGGGATCCATCTAAGAGAGCAACTGCGTTTATTCAGGTAAGGAAAGAAAATAACCCCTAAGTGGAATATGTTTTACCTCAGATCATTAGGGGGTACTATTCTTTCATGTTCTCTGGGATATATTTGGTTGAGAATATATGGGATTAAGAATCTGAGAATTTTATTTCAGCCTCCCTTTAACTTTAATTGGTATTCCTTTCTATATTGCCCAGAAATCATACCAAAGCAAAAGAAATAATATAATTTAAAATGATATTGGAATCTTATATGTTGATAATAAATTGTGAGAAGACAGTAAAAATAGGATTATACAGTGCATTTAACAATGACATTCAACCTCTAGGGTATGCACATTTTGGAATTTGAAGAATGGCTGCTATAAATATGAAATTGATCATAAAATAACACTTTTAAAGACAAGAATGTTTACTAAATGGGCAGGACAGATCACCTTAACTTATGTTTAAAAATTAATTTTCAAAAGGTGATCCCATGACCCTGGGACACTGCAGCCATCATAAGTACATGTCACTTATCAACCGTTCGAATTTTGATCACATGAGCGGGGGATGTGATGAAAAATGGTCATGTCAGTTTTTTCAGTGCCGCTGTAACTTTGAAAGGTCACTACCTGAACTGTTGTAAGCTGAGGACTACATGTACTGTCTTCCTAACCTCAGGAGCATGTGCTACATATGTGCCATAATTAAGTCAACTGAATTTTGTTTTCACTTTTAATGTTTTATAAGGCAAGAAAGAAACAAGACTACAAGAGAATGGCCTGGAACAATATATCTCAACATTCAGTCATAGTTTATATATATAACACTAATTTTATCCAAAATATGTGTGTATGTGTATATATATATATATATATATATATATATATATATATATATATATATATATATATATATCAGTTCAATATTATGCACTTTATATTCCAATTATTGAAGATTACATAATTTTCATTTTTCTCCAAGAAGAGGAGTAAATTTTTTTTTAACAAAAAATATTGAGGGTTAAAGGTATCTCTGAATATTAAAAGTGGCTTCACCATCTGAGCACAACAGTATCTGCTTCAGTTAACCATACTGAAGTATGGTCCAAACTACCAGTGAACTTTTAATCATTAAAAGGCAGATAATATAGGACAAATGTTATCTTTTCCATTATTTAATGTTTGGTGGAAGAAAATAGCTGCTTTAGGGAAGAGCTGATGAAAAGAAGAATGCAATTTGGGTAATAGCATTAGCATCTCTATACTGCCTATTGAGCTTTACAGCTCAATGGGTGGTTTACAATGTCAAAGTATTATTTGCATATTGCTCCCATCTGGATCTCATTTTACCGACATTGGAAGGATGGAAGGCTGAGCCAACCTTGAGCCCCATCAGGATCAAACTCCAGGGTGTGGGCAGAGTTTGCCTGCAATACTGCATTCTAACCACTGTGCCACGAGGATTCAGTGGGTACCTCCATTTAGGTAATACTGATTCCTTTCCCAGTAGATCACATTATTAGTTCCCCACATGGGACCTGTCAAATACCTCTATTAAAAACAAAACACCCCAAATTTCAAACAGCATGATTTGGACTTGAGCGCTAAGCACATCTCTTTTGGCTAGGTACACTGTATTAGTACGGAATTTACTCCAAGGAAACATGGAGGGGAGAAAGGGGTACCATTCCGAGTACAAATGGATACATTTAAACAGAATGAAAACGGAGAGTATACAGAACACTTGCATTCTGCAAGCTGCCAGATCAAAGTATTTAAGGTATGTGGCTAATTTCTTCTATTAATTTGGTGCCATAAGGAGATGCTACAAATAACATTTCTTCTCCCCCCCCCCTTCATTATTCTTGAAAAGAGGATGGTTGGACAGATATGAGGGGATCTGTAGGCTCTCAGAAAAAGAAGGGTGTATGAAGTTTAAATTGGCACAATTGTGGGTGGGGAGAGATTGGTCTGTGAAAATTACAGATAACCACATATATTTTGGATTTTTCATTAATTTTTGACATCTCTTGGTGATCATTAACCCGCTTTTGTCAGTTATTCAATTTCCTCTATATGGCCCCTTCAGGTCTTAGTTCACTGAAAAGCTCCTTGTGCATCCAGAACTGATTCCTAATCTCTTTCCTTTTTTTTTTCTCATTAGAATGGGGTACATTTGTACTTCCAATATCTTATTCCCAACTTGCACTTCATTTGACATAAGGATCTCTATTCATGGGATCCTACCTAATACTTTTCAAATTCTGGGGAAATTGGCTCTCCTGAACTCTAGGGTGAATGAATGACTGCTTCAGTTTCTGTTTTTATATAAATTGAGCATGGCCACTTTCTTATTTCTTTTACTTTTTCGGGAAACACTCTCAAATGTTTAGGATGAGATCTAGGAAAGCTCGTCTCTTTTTTTCCTTGTCTGGAAAATGGAAGTCAGCAAACCCAGCTCTGAAGATCTTGCAGTGCTGACTTTCTTTGTTTCCATTGATGTTCCAGATGGTTAAAGTCTTCTATTATTATCATGTTTCTTTTCTCTGCAATTTCTGTAAGATATCTAAGAATGATTATCCACTTCTGTCTGGCTTGGTAGTCTATAGCACACCACCATAATACTATTTTCATTATTTTCCCTTCCTTGTATTCTTACAAAGTACTTCCAAATAGACTGATGCTAAAATTCCTGTCTATCAGCACATGTGTGCACTTCCCATGTATGAGGCTACTCTTCCTCCCCTTTTGTCTGGCATATTACTTTTGAGTAGTTATATCACTGAATCCACTCATGAGTTTCATCCTACCAGATTTTGTAATGTTGACTATATCATGTTTGCATTTAGACTCCTTGTTCTTTCTGTTCATTTACTATAATTTGTGCATTTATATAAAGATTGTTGATTCATGTGACTTGGCCTATTCCTTCCTGCATTCCACTTCGGATCAATTTCCGGAATATCATATGCTAAAATAAAGGTTCGATAAAAAACAAATAAATAAAAACTAGAAACAAAACTGAATTCTAGCTATCACTAAGCAAATTGGAATATTAGCCAGTGATGATTAATAGAATAGATTATATCCCTCTGAATGAAGGCGGGTATGTCTCTGTATACACGTATATATGTTTGACTTTTGGAATGGAGAGTGTGATACTGATACTTTATTGGGATATTGTTTTATATGCAATAAAGTTAAAATTATAAAAGGAAGTTCTGCAATAAAAATCCTCTCTGCCATGAAATTCACTTGATGAATAATCACTTTAATACTTCTAGTGTCTGTGAGCCTTCTAAGTTTGTTGAGTAGCTAAACTCTAAGGTTTGCAGAAGAAAAGCAGGATTTGTCCTGCTCACCATGGTCATATCCTCTGATGCCATTGCTAATGCAAAATATCCTTCAGGAAGGCTGGGAAAACTGCAGCACCCTCTATATATTGTTGTACTACCAGCATTTCTCTCCAAAGCCATATTGGGCAAGATTTAGAGTTCAACAACATCTGGAACAGATCCCCCAAGCCAGTTTTACAAAAATAATTTTCTATCCTATACCCCATGGCAAGGGAAGAATGTCCATTAAATTATGCCTCAATGTCATTTTTTTCATCTATCAATAAAACCTTCTGCACTTTCTGTTTAACAGTCCTTTGCTTAAGACAAACTAAATTTGTATGTGCTTTTATAGCCTAAAGGAGCAGATAGGAAACAGAAAACAGACAGAGAAAAAATGGAGAAGAAAACCACTCAAGAAAGGGAGAAATATCAGCCTTCCTATGATACAACCATTCTCACTGAGGTACCACTGTCCTAGAGTTGCAGTGTTTTATGGTTATTACTTGCAAAAGACTGCATATTTTATATGTATAGAAGGCAATATTGTGGAGTGTTCAATTTTGAAGTAAAATGATACATTGGGTAAAGTCTAAAACAGGACACTGTTGCATTTTTAGATTTGGTGGTGCTCAGTATGACCTGCTTGACCTGTATTCAAAACTAATATATCCTAAAATTGATGCTTTCTAAAGTTCCAAAGAGCTGAAAAGGATGTTCTGCTGGATTCTGAAATACCAGGGTAGCCAATAATAACTTTCTAAGCCAATTGGAATGAGGTTACTTAAAGTGTCCCCACTTGGATACTGAGGTAATTTTCCAAAATCCACAGGCTTGGCCTATCATTAGATGCAGTGAAGAAGCCACTTTTGGCAATGAATTGAGGTCAAACTCCCACCCCCATTCCCTGCCACTGGAATAATAAATAATAACCACTTCTTTTGCATCTCAGGCTGCATGTAAAATTATATTGTAATCTCAAAATGTATAATTCTGCAGACCTCCTCAGAATGATACTCACAATATGCCAGGCTGGGTGTACAGAAGGAGAATGGTTGTGCTGTTGTGCTGGGGAAATAACATGTGAGAAAGAACCACAATCCTCTTGACGAGTACCTCCACTGAATGAGAGGGATTGCTCGTAGAAACAGAGCCTTAACAATGGGGCATCCAGATTATAGACTGACTTCCCTAGAGAGGTTTACAGATGTATATATTCTTTCAGTCCAGAGTGAAGGTCTTCTGATGATCTCAGTTTTTTAAATTTTTAAAAATGATTTTTTTGATCTTATTATGTTATCCTCTGCTTACTTCTACCTTCAAGATATTTTTTTCCTTCAATTCTTCTAATTCATTTTAGATTTTGTGTTTTATTTGTGCAGGTCATTTCATTTCATTATTGGGCAATTTAAACAAACAAAAATAATAATCAGATCAATATGCAGATATTTTCTCGGTCTGCAGGGAAGTTTTGGTCTCATTCTTCTGTTGAGAATTAATTGGATGTTGACATTTTAGTCTTAAAGTTCACACTGCTGCAAGACCCAGATTAAACAAATATTGAGAAAGTAGGGCAAAGTTAATGTTTAAAAAAGAGCTGAAACAAATGTGCTGTTTCATTCATAGAACCTTTTATATCTGTCTGTGTCATTTAGCCAGCACATTATGTGTCCCAATAGTTGAGGACAATGAGACCTCTGCATGGAAAGTGACCTAGTTTTAAAGGACTATCAGATTAAGGTGGCCTGCTGTTGATGAGGATAACCTTTAGCATCTTAAAGTAGGAAGCCATACAGTCCTTGTTCCAAAAAAGTTAAATATTTACTAATGTTTGTATTTACTGTAAAGAGAAAACTTAAGTTAATGCATAGGTTGCCTGTTGTATCACTGAAAATGAATGGTGAAATCCTTTTAACTGTCCCAGCTGTGGCACCCCTTACAGCTACTAGCAAGTCCACAGTATGGATAAGGGATAATATGGGAATTTCTTAAGCATATTTCAGAAGCACAGCTGTAGGGAATTGGGGTTGGAGGAGAAAGAGGGAACATCCAGCTGCACAAACATTTACTCTTAGAACACTAGATTCTGCTAAGAATTCAATTATACAACAGTATATAATAATTTAGCATAGGTTTAGAATTATTTCGGTGTAAAAAAGGAGTGGATAGACTTGTAATAGCTTTCTTGTAAGACCCATTCTGCATATATTAAGTATAACATGGTTATATGTAGTAAAGAGGGCTTGAAATGTATTACATTCTATATTTATAAATTGGCAGCCCTTTTCCCCATTGAATATACAGTTGAAGTAGGGCTTTTAATTTGTTCCATCAGGTACAAATTTACAGTGCTAGGAAATTAACTGTAGGCTAATTCCCTGCTTATTCTTTTGAGTAGTGCATACATGATCATATATGATGTTGGGAATATGCATGTTGGTGATAATAAATATATTTTTGCTATTGATCCAACAAAAGCTAGTTTTAAAATAGAATGAGATTGTATTTTTGTTTTGTTTTTTAAATAATTTTTTATTTTTCCAAACTCTGCCCCATACATATACTGTGATATTTATCAGAGGTTAACATACATTCTTTTAACATTCATATATAAGATACTTTTAATAAAATGAAATAAATACATACACATGACTTTTGGTGTTGCTCGCCCATTTCCCCTTTCACTGTACCCACACTCCTTCTCTACCTTCTTTCTCCCTTTCTTCTCTTCCCTACTTCCCTCTTCTTCCTCTCCTCTTCTCTTTCCTTCACCACTCTCCTCCCCTTTCTCCCCACTTCTCCTCTTCTCCTCCAACCTTCCTACTTCCTTTACTCTTTTCTCTAGAATGAGATTGTATTTTTGGATTCTCTTTCTCAACACATTGGTTTTGTTTGCACAGTGTTCCCCATGGCCAGATGTGCCTTATCAAGTGAACAACGCTCCATCTCCAAATTACAACAGCTCTCCAAACAGTTTCAGCCTTGGAGATGGGTACGTGATAAATATTTTTGTCTTTTCTGCTGACAGAGGCATCCCAGTTTTGAGATTTTATGATTGTGTGTTCTAAACACTTCCGAATGTAAAAGATTAGGAAGCTTAACCTGGCTTTCAGGCCCAGCTTAATGTTGATGGACTGAGATTGTAAGATCCATTCCTCTACAGCTGAACTCTTGCACAACTTTGTCTTATTTGAAAGCTATTTACATAAGAGAATATACGCAAGAGAGTTTTTAGACAATTTTTTCCCTACTATTAGCTAGGAGAAAAGATAATGTCTTAATTGTCTGTTCTGTCTATTCCTTCTTCAAGGACCTTAAGATACAATATGCAACCTATTCCCTCCATTTTAGCTCGGTAACAAAAAAATGCGTTGGGCTAAGGCAGGGGTCCCCAACCCCCAGTCCGTGGTGGATCAGTACCAGGCTGCGGCATGCCAGCAACTGGGCTGCACAAACAAGCAAAGCCCCATCTGTGGGGTGCAGGCAGCACACAAAACCATGCACCCTCTGGTCCATGGAAAAACCTCTCTCCACATAACCGGTCCCTGGTGCCCAAAAGGTTGGGGACCTCTGGGCTAAGGGATGTTGGTTTGCTTAGTTCTGTAGTAATTTTTAAGGCTAAGTGAAGAACTGGACATGACTTCCCTCAGTCTGATTATAAACCACCTCTGGATCTCAAGATCCTGTCATCATAAATAAATATGATTCACTTCAAACCTTGCTAGAATAGTGTTCTACAATAATAATGATTTTATTTATATATTTATTTTTAAAATATGACCACCCATCTTATAAGCAATTGCTCTCAACAATACTAAAACCCCAGAAACAGTAACAAAACCTGACATTCTCTGACATATCACCAATTATGGACCATGAACACCCATCTCCTCCTATCTCCATGCTTGTAGAAGAACCAGCTGTTTGTGGGGAAAAAAACCCGAAAGTCTGCCAGATCCCAAGGGAAAGGTGTTCCACAGAGTAGGGGCTGCTATGAAAAAGGTTCTATGCTTTGTAGGACCAGCTACATGACAAACTTTGAGGGAAGAGACCTAGCTCATGCCAAAGCTTTTTCTACTACTTGAATGAGATTTAGCTCCAAGTAATGCCAATTTCTTTTTAAAAATCAAGACACAGTTTAGATGTTTGATATTTTATTTTAAAACTGTATTGTAGTCATTAACCAGCAAAGATGCTTGAGAAGACTCGAGCAGCTCTTGTTCAAACAAGGAGCAGGCGTCTTTGCATTTATACATGGCCCAAATTTAGGGGAAAAAAATAATAAGATTCATTTTAAATGTTTTAATGTATCAACCAGACTGTAGGGTGGAAGGGGTGGTGGGGACTGGCCAACTTTATTAAATGAGAGATTTAAAAAATGCTTTCTTTTTTCTCAACTCTATACATTTTTTTAGCAACAGTTCTCCAACTCATCAGGTGGAGGTCCTGCCTTCCAGCAATGATGTAAGTATTTGGGATCGTGTTAATGTGGTGCTTTTCTTTTTTAGGACACTGATGAACAGTTCATTTCAAGACCCTCTTATTCTTTTTGCAATGTAGCATCTCCTTCCCTCTGCTTCTATTCAAGATGCTCAGCAGTGGCTTCATCGAAATAGGTTTTCTCAGTTCTGTAGACTATTTTCAAGTTTCTCAGGTATGTGTATTTAATGTATGCTTAAAAGGGGTACACCTCTACTTTGCATAGGCCGTGTGTTGACATTTCTGCAGGATAGTTTAACTAGGCATATTTGTATACAATGGCTTTCTGATGACTACGTGCAACACGCCTCCTTTTCTATCCCTGCCTTCCCTGTTTTCTAATTAGCATGTATGGTCAGCAAGCATCTGTCATAAAACATCTGTGAAAGGTGGGTCTGTATTCTTGGATATATGTTCTTGGAAGGAAAAAGAAAATCATCTGTGCTTGAAATGTATAGGTGCCGACTTACTGAAGATGTCCAAAGAAGACTTTGTTCAGATTTGTGGCCCAGCTGATGGCATTCGACTTTTTAATGCCATTAAAGGAAGGTTTGTTATAATCCTTGTTCTTATACCAGTCATAGTGAGTTGAGATATGTGAATATTGTGGAAGACAGAGGCCCAAATTTAATACTGTAACTCTGCATCATTAGTCATTATTACTGCTGCTTGTAAAAATCGCAGATGTCCTCAGATCCAATCTGGGTTGGTCACCAGGACCAGAAATTTTGTTTTCCAAGCTTTTGGACTTCTGTTGGAGCCCATCTTCAGGGAACTTCTCTCTAGCCTAGTTCCCTGAAGATGGGCTCCAGCATGAATCTGAAAGCTCGGAAGACAGAAACTCTGGTCTTCCAGTGACTGGCCCAGATTGGATCCTGCAACATCATCCTGGGATGTGTAGATTTGCCTTCATTCGTGACTCTGCTAACACCTTACGGTTCAATTACAGTATATAGAAACAGATTTATTGATACAGAATACAGAATAACAGAGTTGGAAGGGACATTGGAGATTTTCTAGTCCAACCCCTTACTTAAGCAGAAGTCATACTGATCATATCCTTGGATAGTCATGTTAAAGCTGTTGATTAAGGTTAGAGAACTGTACGTTTGCTTACAATGCCAAAACTGAAAAGAAAATTTTGTTTTGTCTTTAGGAATGTAAGGCCTAAGATGACCATTTATGTCTGTCAAGAACCTGAGCAAAATCGGTTTCATCTTCATCAAAAACGAGAGAATGGAGATGGTAATCTTTGTAGTAAGTGTCACTTGGGCAGAATCTGAGCAGTTTCAGGACTTTTATTATTCATTTATTAACTATTTGCTTCACGTGCCCTATTGCACTTTCCATGACCAAATTCTGTAAAGAAAAAAAAAAGAAATGAAAGGATTTCCCCCCCCATCTTTGATCCATTGTTCCTATAGTGTCTGAAAAATTCTAAGCACATCTAACTGGTCCCTAGTGATGTGAAATTTGTCAGGCGGGTTTCATGTCTTCATTAGGAGAACTCTGTCTATAATGTTAATTCAGTTCTGAAATGAATTAAATGGCCTCCAAAGCGATATGTAGCAAATCACCAAAATGAGATCTGAACTAAGTATTGTGGTTGATTTTACCGCTATTCCTATACCCCTATTATAACAACAATAAGTCTCCACAGTGGCCCCTCCTTCTCCTGATAACAGAAGGATTCTTCTCATGGCCCAGTCTCCTTGCAAAGTAGATGAGTTGGTTTTAAGGTTTAAACATTCAACTCAAAGGGCAAACAGTTACTGCATCTAATGGTTTAGGTGCAAAATTGAAAATGGAATCAGTAATTGACCCTATCTACAGGATCTCTTTCCGAGGGTTAGACATGGATTTGTAACCCTGCAATTACCTTTTGAATCACATAGTAGTCTTGGAAAACTTACTTTTAAAAGAGGATTTTAGCTATCCCTGGAAGACATACAGCATCACAAGAGTTCTTATCTGCCCCCTGCAAAACCTTTGAAAAGTTGTGGGTCAACCAACTTTTCAACACTCTTTCTCAAGTTTTGGATGAATGAAATATAGAAAGATGCTTTGTATCATATGAAAGGCAAAAAGCATATCCCTCAAGACACAATAAATAATTTATAGGCTGATCTTGTGCAAATAATGTATTGGCCTGTAGCAGTTTGAAAACTTTTATTATTCATTTCACAAAATTTAAGAAATCATTAAAATGGTTTTATTAGACATGTAAATCTAGCATATGGATTAGATTCAGAGTAATCCTGTTGGATGCATTCTAGAAGATTCAGGACGTATGTGGAGTTTCTCCAGAATGGATCAAATGTAGAACTGGAACCCTCCTGAAATCATGTGATTCCATAGCACAGATACAATCCTTTTATAAAAAATATAACCTAGATAGAAGCTCTTGAATAAGGAAAATTTCAAGATGGAATGATGGGAATCATAATTTTTAAATGATTGCTTTAGGTTCTAAAGTGAGTAGCTTTATCAGAATTTGAAAGGCAAATATGAAAGGCAAAAAGCATGATCTTGTGCAAATAACGTGTTGGCCTGCAGCAGTTAACTGCATTAGCTAGGATTATTTTTTTTATTTTTTTTTATTTTTATCCTATCTTTATTATTTTTATAAATAACTCAAGCTGGGGAACATACCTAGTACTTCTCTTATTTTCCTTACAACAGCAACCTTGTGAGGTGGGTTGGGCTGAAAGAGAGTGACTAACACAAAAGAGGGTCTCACATAATCACATGTCACCTGCAACTTGCCAGTATGTTCACTCCTGAAAGTTGCTCTTTCTCCAATACTGTTGCAGTATACCATGCTATCTTCTTAGAAGAGTTAACAACCCTGGAGTTGATGGAGAAGATTGCAAACTTGTACAGTATTTCCCCACAGCAGATAAACCGGATCTATCGGCAGGGACCTACAGGGATCCATGTGTTAGTGAGCAACGAGGTAAGAGTTTTCACTAGAATATTTTGCACCTGATGCTAGATTTTGATGTTCAAGGCATAACATTAACTTATTTGTTCATTCTAACTAGGTTCCTTTCAAATTACTTAGCTTCAAAACATTAAAATGTCTTAATCACTCTTTACTACTTTTTAAAAATGTTCATCAACTTAAGGTGCCTTGATCCTTGAAATATTTAAAATCAGAAATTTCTGGTAGAATTTATATGGTACCAAAGGGAATAGAATCAACAGATGAAAGATCAGTTAGTTTTTTCTTTATAATTTTGTAATTTGCTTTATTTAATATTTTAGTTTTTATTTCCCAATCTGTTTTTTTTATCATATTACCTGTTTTCAACCCTGCTTACAGACTTGGAGAAGACGTACACTACTCAGAGATGGTAGATCAGACAGACTAAATAGACAGACAAAACAATATTCTGAAACATTGCCTAATTTTTCTCTTGTCTACAAAAGGCTAGTATTGAAAGATAATTAAGGCATGGATGGAGAAATATAGCAACAGTTGGGAAGATTTGTAGTTATCTAGTAAGAAATTTTGACTTTCAATTGTTTAAGAGTAATAGCAGATGGTCACCCCTCCCTCCATCTCCAGTTAACTGATGAAAGTTTGAGATAAACAGGAATGGATTACCTAAATAGGTTTAAATATAGTTAGTTTTGAGTAAAAATGAGGGAAGTCAGACAATCTCAATTTACATTTTAGAAAGTGATTTCAACTGCAAAATCTATGGCTTTGTGTCATTTTGATTAGTCTTCTGATAGGCAGAGAGTAAAGGAAAAGATACAGATGTTCCTAGATAGCACTATATGAAGACTGAAATATATAAAAATGGAAGATATTTTGGTAAAGGGAACTGATATCACCCCTAATAACTATGAAGTTTCTTGCTTTGGGGCAAATGGGGAGGAAATTTACCATCTTTCTTCTAACTACTTCTAAATATATCTCACTTAATTATACCCTGTATTTACCTGCCAAATATTACAGCTTTTTCTGAGTAGCCTTCTGCATGCTTCAGAATCACTTAAGACGTTTCATTGTATTTGACCTCTGGACTGGAGTTATAGCAAAGCACAAAATTCCCATATGGTTATGGATCAAGCCTGTAATGTTTGTTCTGAAAGTTGCTCGACTGTTTCACCCCGATGATTCAGAAACTTGTAACGTTTGAATAGTCATGAAATGCTTTAAGGCAGCATTTGGAAAGTGGAATGGCCTTGACTAACTTTGGTGTAGAAAGACTTCCATTAAATATTTAGGTTACTGATTAACAACTGCTATTGCCTTATTTTTGTGTTCTAATGGTAGGGCAGTAGCAGGGATGTAAAGGAAAGGGAGCAGTTGGCTGTACCTACCTCATGCTTGATTTGTGCATGTTGCGAGTAGCCTTGACTTTAGTTTTGGTGAATATTTCTACATTTGGACAATGAGTGGGAGAGAAGAAACCTTAAATGCATGTAAGAATTATAACAGGGAGATGGATCCTAGTGTCACCCATTATATCAATCTGAACAAATGTTTAGAAAGGTTAAGTGCTAAATGTATTGATATCTGTAAACATTTACAATCAACTTGTGCATTTCAGTACTTGAGCACCTGTCATTAAACAATGTTAGTGTATTGAATTGGAAAGCTTTTTTCCTCACTTGCTTTCAAGATCTAAAACAGATATGCTTCCTTTTGTATCTCCAAAATAGTGTTTGGGTGTATATATGCATAGTGGTAGTAACAGAAATAGTAGTAATAATAGTAGTAGTAATGTTATGTGGTTTTTAGCGCCCAAAGATTCCTACCATGAAAATGGCAACTTGTTTTCTCCTACATGGGATACTTTCTTGTATGATAAAAGGAATGGTGGGGGGAAACCAAAGACAAATAGGCAAAGCCTCAATATTCACAAATAATGGAAACTGTGCCAGAAAAATCTCCTAGAATCCTAAGTGAGGCTATTTCCCATTGGAAAATTCTTCTCAGAGTTGACCTTCCTGGGAAAACCAAATAATTGCCATCTACTACTTGTAACTAACTCTGTATTGCTGAAATAATAACGGGTTTCAAAGTATGCATTGAATCTGAGAAATTTCTACTTTCTAGCCTTGTCCGTTGGGTGAACTATTTTGTAAGGTTGTGCCTGATATTCAAAAGAGATGCTTTGCAAAGTGCATTAGTAGTACAAAACATCTCCAAAGCATTAAAGACGACTGGGGTTATAGCAAAGATAACCATGTGGATACATAGAGAGACATTTTTGCCCAGACTATGAAAGAAACAAAGTGGCTGTACAAATACATGCCAAGTCAGTTTTGGAAGAACTTGCACAGCCTTGCAAAAGACATGATGGTTTTAATGCTTTGAAGGCATGCTAATGCTCTTCACGCTAACAGGACCTACAAAGCACTTTTTCTGAATACTTTGCACAGTCATTTATTTTTAAATATTTCATGTGTATATCATCTAGAATAAGGCTCCTCCATTTAAATACATTGCTAAATTTAAGTTCAGGTTTTGCCCCAGAAGTAATGCACAAATCCATTGTTTCTGAAACCTACTGGCAAATATATTAGAACTAGCTCCTTTTTTCTCAAATTAGAATGGGAATCCTCCTTCTTTAATAGCTGGATTTGCTAATACTAACAGACAGTATCTACATGATTTTCTTTTAAAAATAACAGCATCTTATTTAGAGCTACCGACATCTGGAAAAACGTTGGGTAGTATAAAAAATATACTCCTTTTTGCCATCCAGAGATCATTGGGAGTTTGTAGCTCATGCCTGATCAGTGTTTTCTTGTTAATAAAGCTTAATAGAAAAATGTATCATGAAAGAAATAAAAACATCTTCCATTTTTCTCTTTATCTAGATGGTACAAAACTTTCAAGATGAATCTTGTTTCATCATCTCTACACTGAAAGGTATATCTGCATACATTTCCTGACATAATGTAATAGCTTTTCCGGGTCTCACACTGAGAGATGCAAGAAGCAACCTATAAGCATTTTTCAAAAGTTCTTTGGTTAACATTCAACTATAAATATGAAGAGATAGCCAGATGGCACCTATGGAGCCCTCTTCTAAAAACAATAATTACCTTATTCCAGTTGCTTCTCTAAAGTAGGTCAAAAGGTCCTCTTGGCAATTGTTAGAAGATTTGGAATGGGAATCTGATAAAATGCAACCCCAGGACCCAAATCAGTAAAAAGTCTGCTTACCATTGGGTAGGTGTTTTGGGAGGGAAACTGCAGAAGTCTCCTTTGAAATTAAGCTGATCTTTCTTTTATTTTTTTAAGACTGATACTCTGGATGAGAGAAAAGATAGGTCACCTTCTACCTACCTGTATGTTATTTTGCCTCCCGCTGAAAACGTTTATATTTTCTAGCAAAAAATGTTCCATAATTTAACACTGATATGCCTTCCTAATACATTCAAAATGATTTTTCAGAATGGCATTTTTATAGTCTCTTATTGTACAACCAGAATCTGAGGAAAGTACAGTCCACAGAATTGTAGAAATTTATAGGACTAAAAACATAAATATTGCAATGAGTTCCTGACAGATTTTTTTCACCCTTTTCTTACAGCTGAAAGTAACGATGGCTACCATATTATTCTGAAATGACCCACTCCTCTGTATATTTGGACTTGGAACAGCTTTACAGCACGATGTCTCATTCTCCTTCCTGTAACTCAGTCTATAAAGATAGAAAATCCATTGGATAAAGTACTGTTATTAACCAAATGCCCAAACAAGGAGATTAAAGTGTGTGGTGTTTGGAGACTTGAGGACCACATAATGTCTTTGCTTTGTTACTGATCTAGTGATAGTTTGATTCAAGGGCTTTGTTAAGAAAGTCTTGAAATGAGCAGATGAAATAAGCTGATGCAATAAACCACCAACTTTTGGAATTCATCTTGGATGTGAATTTGAAATTAACTGGGCTTATTTTATTGTCTCCTCTCTTTCCAGACAGTTATAGGAAGTTAATTGCAGGCTTTTATAACTGATTTGTACTGCTTTTCCCCTTAAAGCAGTATTTTTTTAATACTGCTTTGGCAACTTGAAGATGTGCGGACTTCAGCTGTCAGAATTTCCCATGCCTTCAAATTGCCAAAGTTGATAACACTACTTCAGAGCAAAGAAACTATCTTCTAAACTCATCATGAGAAAAAGTTTCTGCACTCTGTTCATATTAACAAAGGTTTTCTTTTTCCTTTATTTCCTGATCTTTTATACCTCCAGTTTCCATTTTTAAACTTTTAATTCATTTCTTTTTACGAGCTTCAGAGTTCAAACTAAAACTAGGACAAATAGGGTCAGATCTTACTTACAACTGAATGATGCCACTAGTAGCTGGCTTATTTACATTATACAACTTGACTTTCCTTCAGGTTTATTGCATACATGAAAAGGGGCTGATTTTTGAGTGGGGAAATGGGAGATTGCTTTCCCACCATTATAGCTAAGAGAACTACAATACCCCTCATGGAACTGGGTGAGATTTGACTCTGAAAGACAATAAAAATGCATGTGTACATAGTTGTTAAACAAAAACCTAGCCGCACTCAAGGCTGGACATTAAGCTTTACATTTAAGCCAGTGATATGTTCAAGAACAAAGCATTTTTTTTTCAAATAAAGTAAAATGGCTCAATTCACTACATAGGTAGAAAGCTATAAGCATAATCAGGAATATCTGGCTTTTGTGTCTTGGACTTATAATACGTGTGAAAAAACGCTCTTATTTCTGTGGTTATTCCATAGCTCTGATGGTAATTCCATGCCTTCGTCTCAAAGCTTTAAAGAGAACGTTGCTGCTAAAGAAGGAAAATGGGTGGATATGCCACTTCTGTTTTTTCATGCTTTCTAATCTGAAAATGTAACCTGCAGGAATGTACATGCTTTATATGTTAAAGTTCCTTCCACAAGGAGTGTGGACTTTCACATCTCTAACCTTTGGAGTGGGGAGAGGCAAATCTTACATTGCTCTCACTTCTCTTCGACATTGCAAAGAATTGCATAGAAATCACATTAAATTGGATGGAAACATGTCTAATATTACATTTTATATGCATTTAAGACAGATACTTGCACCCTGATAAATTGAATGGGTGGGTGTGCAAAAGTAGCTTCTGTACAAAAAATCCCTGTTGAATTAGAAACATATATAAAGAAAGCTAATGTACGTCTATCTCCCATGATTGTGTGATAGACCCCGGATTGGAATTGTGCACACAAAGATAGACAACATTGGTTGAGATGGCAGATTATATGCAGCTGCATCATGTGGCATTTGATTGGCATCTGTTAAGTGCTCAGGGCCAGAATCCTCATATGTAGAGATAACGTCTTAGGCCAGAATTTTGATTTATATATGTTTTGCTTTCATCAAGCTCTTGAAATAAAGCAAAATATTGAACTATTATACTCCCCAAACAGTTTTGATGGAAATATATCATGGCACAATACAATTTTGGTTCAAAATTGCCTTTAGCACAGTCAACTGCGTGTTGCACTTCCTAGAAGTACTATAAATTCTGTGCTCTTGATAATTGTCTTTTTTACTTCCTGAAATGAACAGCCTTCATAACAGATTATAGCTAAATGTTGTTGTTTTTTTTTAAAAAAAAAAAGTCTGGAGAAAGCTTGTTATTTTAGGTTAAAAAGTGTAAACCATTTGAGTCAGTAGCAACATGATTTTCTGCCTTAAGTGCTGCGTTTTAATTCTTGTAAGCCAATAAGGAAGCTGACTGAGATTTATAAAATAGTGCTGATTCCTGACTGCTTCAAAATACCTCTACCACAGAGGTCCCCAGCTTTTCAGGCACCAGGGACCGGTTCTGTGGAGAAAGGTTTTTCCACAGACGGGAGAGTGCGTGGTTTTGTGTGCTGCCTGCATCCCACAGATGGGGCTTTACTTGTTTGTGCAGACTGGTTGCTGGCATGCTGTGGCCCGGTACCGGTCCATGCACCGGGGATTGGGGACCCCTGCTCTACAAAAAGGGGACATGTCTTTCTGAGATGAGGGCCTATTTCGAAGATTGAGAGCCCTTCAACAAATAAACGTGTTAGGCTCCCATTCACAAATATATACCTGTTGTGATCAGTATGCCCACTGTTGTGTGGTCTGGATACACTTTGTTGTGGAAATAAAGAAACTGCTGGAAATGGTAAGCAGCATGCCAACTTTCCATTTAAAATGTAAATCTGTAAACAAATTTTGGTATGATAGGGACCAAGGGATAGGATTATGAGAAGTTACTGCCAGAAAATTATATTATCTTGCTGTATCAACAGCTATGAGACCTTACTTATCCTTTTTCTCTTGTACTGACCCTGAGATTTGAGAGAAAATGTTTGGGTAATGAAAATGTTTGGTGACCAAAAGGATGTTAGTGGTCATGATACCTTTTAATAGTGCTAGTCTCTCAGGAAAAGCAGCTTTAAATCAATGCTTGACTTTTAAAAAATGAATGCTGAATATTTGTGCTTATGCGTTTTGTTTTATCCCTATTTTCTGTCTTATTGTGAAGCCTGGTTGATCTTAATCTCGCTAAATATTTAATATCTTCAGATGATTGGAGTAGGTATTTGTGTCTTTCAGAAGAGGTATGGGAGTTTTCTTGTTTTTACTGTGTAACACAAGAACAATTTTAATTGTGATTTAAATGAAGGGAGAATGGAGGCCCAGAATAACATTTCTGAGTGAAAGTGTCAGAATGTTTGTTTATAGATTTTTAAAAATACATATTTTGCACTGGCCATTCTACTGTTGTACAGAAAAAAATATTTGCTGTCATTCAACTTTGTGCCCTGGTAAAACTATAAATAAACTTGTTTGTAAAAAAAACAATTCTGGTTTTGAAGTTTATATATTATGTACTTCAGGTATTTTTTATCATTTTAATTCCTTCTGCTTAATTTCATTACATTCAGTGTCTTAAGACTGACTTTTTGCCACTTAAATTATTACTTTCCCAGTCAAGAGACTCTAGAGAAAATAAATTACAAGTAGATTTCTACTGACAGTTCTGTTGAGGTGGCTTAATTTGTTGTCCTCCCAGATTCTGCTACTGTGGAACAACTGAAGAAAAATGCAAAAACAGCAAAGCAAAATGAAATTATTTTATGTGATCATGAATTAAAGAACAGCGGGGCGGCTAAATGGCACTCATGACTTTTAGTAAAATTGATAATACAGTCTATTGTGAACAGAGGTTTTTGATATCCAGCATAAGTGCAATCATATTGTACTTGACCTAGTCTTACAGGGAGAGTTAACTAAACTGAGGAAATTGGAGTGTGGATCTGAAATTATTCAGACTCCATGCAGTTTTCTTGGCAAGGGTTTTCAGAAGTGGTTTGCCATTGCTTCCTTCCTAGGACTGAGAGAAAGTAGCCCAAGGTCACCTAGCTGATTCCGTTCCTAAGGCAGGACTAAAATTCACGGTCTCCTGGTTTCAACCCTGATATCTTAAGCACTTCACAACGAACTTGCTATCAATGATTATATGCCTCCCTTAATATTTTTCCAAGAAGCAAGGGCAATGCTCTAAGATTTATGAGATATTAGGAAAATGTTCCTTCCCTGCATCTCTTGAAATTATGATCCAGCAACTACTGGGGAATTGAGATGCCTCGTGTCTTCCCCGTTGAATTGTTTTGTCATATACAAATTGTGAATTGCCCCATTTCTGAAATTCTTCTATAATTAGAAACCCATTTTCAGTGCTAGGCTTGGGCATGATTCTCATGATGCTGGTTGCTAAGAATATTGTGTATGTGATGTGAAATGCATGAGGAAGTTTAATTGTTGGATGTCAGGGTCCGATGTTGAGCAACGTTTGGATGGGCTGCGAGGTGGTCTCCTATCCGAGCACTCTAAGAAAGATAAAGGGAGAGAACTAATTCTTGAGACAAAAAGTTACATTAAGAAAACTATGTATATAATGTATTTTCTTACTCTAATAAAAAAGAAGGCTAACCCCTAATTGTTAATAGTCTCACTGTTTATTTAGTACTGGGTAGAAATGGCTCTAATAGGTTCTGAAACCCAGTGTTTTGCCGGAAAATTAATACGTTTTTCCTTCTATTTCTAGTAAGATGTAGCAGGTAAATTTGATGTCCATGTTTGTAGATTGCAGAACTACCAGAAGCCAGAAACTGACTAAATTACCACTAGCTGATGGAATTACTACTAATACTAGTACTTCTCTTCCTCCTTAAAAAAATAATAATAACAACTTGGTCAACATTTTCTGTTAATCAGCCTTTAAGCTTTGCAGGAAGTAAAATGTTTTAAAAGAAAATTGATTTTCTGCTTCTTCATAAAACAACAAAGCTTTTAACCTAGAATGAACAATGCAACAATGTTTTAAAAAGCAAAAGTAATTGCTAGCATGTGGTAGTGGGGCTAATCGAAGCATACAAAAGACCAAAGAAGTCAAGAACTTGTTAATTGTTTTTCAACATTTGAACAAACATATTTCAATACTGCATAATATTAGCAGCATAAAATTTAAAATGTATCTTATCAAAATTATGGCATCCGGCCCTCTCAATTCCTGGCAAATAGATGGGGAAGAAATGGAGGTAGTGACAGATTTTATTTTTCTGGGCTCCAAGATCACCTCAGATGGGGACTGCAGCCAAGAAATTAAAAGACGCTTGCTCCTGGGGAGGAAAGCTATGGCAAATCTAGACAGCATACTAAAAAGCAGAGACATCACCCTGCCAACAAAAGTGCGCATAGTCCAGGCCATGGTTTTCCCAGTTGCAATGTACAGCGGTGAAAGTTGGACCATAAGAAAGGCTGAGCGGCAAAGAATTGAGGCCTTTGAACTATGGTGCTGGAGAAGACTCCTGCGAGTCCCTTGGACTGCAAGGCGTTCAAACCGGTCAGTCCTAGATCAACCCCGACTGCTCTTTAGAAGGCCAGATCCTGAAGTTGAAACTCAAATACTTTGGCCACCTAATGAGAAGGAAGGACTCACTGGAGAAGGGCCTAATGCTGGGAAAGATTGAGGGCAATAGAAGAAGGGGACGACAGAGAATGAGATGGCTGGATGGAGTCACTGAAGCAGTAGGTGTGAACTTAAATGGACTCCAGAAGATGGTAGAGGACAGGAAGACCTGGAGGAACGTTGTCCATGGAGTCGCGATGGGTCAGACACGACTTCGCAATTAACAACAACAACAATCTTATCAAGAAGGTTTATATTATTATGCTGGCTTGTGGGCCACTTTATGTTTGCAGTCATTCCTTTATTTTGTATCAGTGGCTGAACTCATTGCATTTAAGATTATCCATTTCCCACTCCTGCTGTCTAGGCAAGTCCAACATTCTCCACTTTGACAAGGCCTATTACAATACATTTGTTCTTGCCATATGTATGCTGTTACCCAAGTCACCCTACTCCTGGGTTACCTAGGAATTCCTGTTAAATTCAGTGGGGGGGGGGAGGAGAGAGAAATCACAGCTGGGTTTTTCTGTGGATATGTGTAACTGACTTTTTTGGAGTTCAATATGGAGAGAAAATCACCAGTTAAACCACAATATAAAGAGTTTATCACAACTCTGCTTCCTATACCTTGTCCTCTTCCTCCCCCCTGCAGCATAACAACCTACATGCTTTTATACTGCCTCTCAAAACATTGTGTTTTGTTTACCAAAATAGTGTTTTGAAAATATTGAGGCGTTTCAGAAATGAAGGAAGATTCTTGAATGGAGGAAAACCTTGATAGCAAAGATAGCTTATTTACCACTACTGCTCTTTTAACCTTATCATTAATGATCACAAAAAATATTTCATGTTTTTGAGGTTAAAGTTCACCAGACAAGCAATTTTTAGCTACTGTTTCCCCTGAATGCTTATCATGGTCACTCAAGGTTGAGGTGGTCAATATTTTTTATAAATAAATAAATGTCTACCATAAGCTTCACCTTCTAGTGATTTTCTAACTTACTCCCTTCCACTTTTCTATTCATAGCTAAAGAGTGTGTGTGAGAGGCACTGTCTACTCTTCAGTATTACCCAAGCAGCATCAGTATAATTCACAATACCAAGGGCAAAAGTTCATGCAATCTCCGTTTAAGAAAAACAACTAGCTAAAAATAAGTTCTGATGCAAAACAAGAGGATGCTTACATGTAAGGTATAGATGGCAGGACCTCTTAAATTATGCTTTGGAAATAAATAAGTAGGACTGATGAAATATCCTGAAGTGGAGCGTCTGATGGAGTTTGCACAACCCTTCACCCTTTTCCTGGCTCTCTTCAGTTTCACACAAGAGTCAAATTCAGGTCAGGCTAAAGAAATTCCTGATAAGTATTAAGCAATGGCCACAGTCTGAGAAAAGAGGAGGCCTGAGGACAAATATATACCAGCATGATGAGAATACCCTACTTAGGGGGTGATTGAATTTTATTCTTCTGATGTACCCATCTTACCCACATTCAGTTTTCATGAAAATTGATGGGACATAGTATTAAAAATCTCAAATTTAATCTCATGGATTCGTGGATTATATTTATAAATTAGAAAACCAAAAGTGGAATGAAAAGAACTCTCAATCTATCAGGTTCATAATTTATTTAATCCTGTGCTTTCAAAACAACCTGAGAAACATAAATTTAATTGCTAAACTTTTCTTGACAGAATTACAGTGGATAGATTTCAGCTGCTGAACTTCTGCATGTCAGCACAATGAATGGTATGGCTTGAGGCTGTGATAGTTCTTCCTGGGTTAAGATGAAGTTCAATAAAGAAAAGAACAAGACACCATTGGAAGGTCTTTAAAGAACTGGGATGCTATAAAATGAATTAAACAAGTTCTTGAATTACAAATATTTTTGAAGTAAACTATCTTCAAGATGTTACTCTCTTAGAAATTATACCAAAAATATTTGGTTTTGTTTGATGAATTCTCTGTGGATCTTTTGAGACAGAGGTGTCAAACTGCCGGCCCGCAGGCCGGTTTCATCATATCGGAGCCGCGCCCACCCCATTGCTGGCAATGGCGTGACGTCACGTGACGTTGCGAGTTTGACATGCCTGTTTTAAGAAGAATGTAATGAACAACAGATGCATTAGACTGAAAAAAGAAAGGGAATTACTAATAGCAATTGTGGCCTTCTAGAAAAATGTTGCTGTCCTTATTTGCAAGAAACCATTGACCAAGTAGCACAAAACTTTTAGCAAAATAGAATATCTGTGCTGAAAGTATGTATGATTGCAACCGCTTGATCTTATAGAAAATATATCATTGGTGAACTTTCAGTCTCCTTATAATATACCTTTGGTAGCTTAACAAGAAAGTGATACTGCAACAATAATTGGAAAAAAATGCCATCCCAAAGGGTGCCTGACCTACTATCTTTTAAAAGAAAGTGATTAGATAAACTAAGAAAAACTCTATTATTTACTATGGTACTTCTAGAATTTGGTGAATTCAGTTTTCTAAGTCCACATTTTCCAGTCTTGAACAATTGGCAATCTTAGCAATCCATGTGTGGATTTTAAATTCTGGAATTCCACACTCAGTATGGCCATAACTAAGAATTATGGGAATTCCAGTCCACGCATGTGGAAGGGATCAAAGTTGAAAAATGCTAATCGGATCATTGAGATGGCATTTTATTATTTATTTATTTATTTATTTACAAATATTTATATGCCGCCCAATCCCAAAGGACTCAGGGCGGCGTACAAAGTTAAAACAATGATAAAACAATAAAATAAAACAGTCATACCGCGAGTCCGATCATATCCCGGCCCCCTGGGGACATCAGCCCCAGGCCTGCCGGAACAGGAGAGTTTTAACGGCCTTCTTAAAGGCCGGCAGGGTGGGA